CCCCAAAACCCCAAAACCCCAAAACCCCAAAACCCCGTTAAGAAAATAATGGGCAAATAATTAATTTTGAATGATACAAAGTTATTAAAATATATTTAAGTTATAAAATTTTTCAAGATGAGTGTAGGAGGAGATTACTAGCAAGATGACTTCAATGATATTGCCGATGACACTAATACCATTAGAAGTGACCCCATATTCAGGGATAATTACGATAATTTGTTGACTAAGTCACCCAATCACAATCAAAACAATAAAGCCAAAGCACTTTAGGAAAATTCTCCTGAAGCCTAGGACCTTTTTGAAGATAATCAATCGACAATTCCTTAAATTCCATTGATCTAGAAATAACAATTACCGTAGCCTGAAGAAAAAAAGGAGGAGAAAGTCGTTAGCAAAGTTAGATCCAAACTTGAGGAATATATGACCAAGAAAGCAGGTTTGAACATTTAGAAGATATCTTCATACAAAAAATTATAAAATCGTAGCAACAATTTGAGTAATGTGAATTCCAGTCTAAATTTGGATATCTCATAAATTAAAGGAGATGCATAAAGAATCCTAAATGATAACAGACAATCAAAAAATTAAATTCATGAAATAGAGGTGACTTATCTAGAAGATGGGAAGATTCAATACCAAGATGCAAATGGAAATGTGCATGAATATCTTGACGAAAAAGCGGAAGTTATATTCCCCTATCAAAGCCCAATGATCGGTAAGCCATAGTCGAACCCAGAAGTTATGGGGAGAAATGGAGGACTGGACAAAAACTATAGATCATCTCCAGGCTTTTTTAATGGATAAACAAAAGGAGGACATTAAAGATTGTTTTCAAACTCCCCAAGTGCAGATGCCAAAATATCCTCACGATATATGAATGTGAATCAAAAGTAAGCTGGCAGAAGAATGATTTCAAGCATATCTGATATCAAGGGTCATCCATTTAAAGTAATTGATATAGCAATCTAAGATGCAAGTAAGCTACACTTTATCTCCTTAAACTTATTATAGAAATGGTATTGATTGAGTCTACTTCTGAATTTTAAATACATGGAGCTTATGCCCTTAAGGAGTATTATATTTAATAGCAGAAGAGGCAAGATAATTCTAATACCAATTAGTCCTAAATTCTTAAGAATGAGGACCTATGGAATAACGTCTAAGAGGTAGATGCCGAGCGAGCCATAGTTAAGCTAAAAAGTAGCATCAATATTATGAGAAATGCTATTAATTTCGCAGAAGCTGAGTACTTCAAACTTATGAAGAATCAGAATGTTTAAATGTTTAACAGGAAGGGAAATATGGTTTCATAAAATACCTCTTTAGGGTTCAATGGAAAAGCCGGCTCTGATGATCACAACTCTAGAATCACTTACAATAAGGATATCATTCTTGGTCGAAAATAAATTGAGAAAAAGAATCATGAGGAGTTGTATCTTAAACTTTTAAGGAGACACCAAATTATTACCTAAAAAGACTATCTATATTAGCTTCAAACTGATATCGAATTTGAAGAGAGATCAATCAAGGAGCTAAATAGTATAAGAAAAGGCATCTCCAAAGACTAGCAAGTGATTGATAAAACTCTAGTCACTAAGATTCATAAGTCTGAGAGCTTTTAAATAGCTAAGATTTAAGAACTGATCTCACTAAATGAACTTTATAACAAGAAAATTGCATCTTTGAAAGATTTGATATAGAAATCGAAAACATTAAAAGAAACACAGGAAAGACAAAGAGATGAAGCCAGAACAAAGGAAAATTAGCTTAAAGATAAAGCTATAAATATTGGGATAGATATCAACAATATATAGGATAATATCGAAGTAGTAGAGGAGACTAAATCGATGATAGTAGATACGAAGTAGCTTAAAGTATAGATCCAAACTTAGCAAGGCAATCAGAGAAAGGCTCATTAGGAAATAAAGAAGAAGAATGAGATGTTCTAAGACTTGCTCAAGGCTTATGCTGAAAATGAGGACTATATGACTGAAAAGAGGAAGTAAGTATGAAATTAAGTCATTGTCGCCTTTTTCCTATAATATAGTTTCGATCTAATTAATTAATCTATAGGAGGGCAACCTATTTGTAAAACTAAATAGAAAATTTGATCAAATAAATCAATGATGCAAAGACCACTAGTTTTGATCAGCAGACTATTTATAATATGGCATAGATAAAAGCGAAGGTGAGACAAATTGGGCAAAAAGTTACTACAATTAATCAGGAATAGGCTGAAGGCAAAAATGGAAGAAAGTAACTTTAGATTAGCAAATCGATTACTTTTAGCCCAAGATACTATTAAGAGGATAGAAACTAATCTTTGCCATTAGTAATACCTATGAGCGAAAAAATTCAAACAATGTTCAACTTTAATAGCAGAAATGATTAGATGGAGTTAAAAGAAGAAGATGAAAGTCTAATTCAAAATAATAATCAAACTTTGGACTTGACTAACATTGAAAATCAACAGAATTAAACGAACTATACTGATAACTTTAACCCTGTTAATGATGGTACTAAAATGAATGGTGATTGTGATGATGATTAAACTAGTCCCAAAGGAGGAATGCATTAAATGCCACCTTCAAATGCAGTCTTCACTAAGCCTTTATTCCCTAAGGTGAGAAGATGAAATATATGAGACTCAATAAGATTTAGTCCTGCCATCAATGTCTCAATAAGATGGTATTAGATAAGACCTTGAATGAATATAAATATATGGTTGTAGAGAAAATTTATAAATCATTAACTAATTCATTACTTGATGATTTTCCATGAAAAAGCACCTAAGGGGTTTTGGGGTTTTGGGGTTTTGGGG